CTATTTCCCTTCGCTTCTTCGTGATTTTTTGATCCAACGGATTGATAAAAGGGGCCTGGCAATTCAAGAATGGCAGCAGGTTTATTGTTGCTCCCTTAGTTTTTCGATTTTGTAGTGTTTGTGTTGTTCAGCTGTAACATCTTTTTTTTTTTTTTCTTTTTTTTTTTTTTTTTTTTTTTCTGCTGTCAAACTTCAGATTCCATTGACATTTTCCCCCTTTCTTAAAGATGATTTTATTATCCTACCGGACTGAATAGAATCTTCTGTACTTAAACTATTAACTTCTACTTAATTACATTGTCTATCATGAATATTTCTTAGATATACATAATGATGAAAGATCCTTTTTGCAGGCAGAAACCACTGTAATTAACCAATGCACCCAGCTTTTGTCACCTTCCGCTGATCCTACATATGTAATGACCTATATCAGTCATAGTTTTCCTCAACATCGACAATATCTATGTGCTGGTGCATGGATTCTGATGCAAGGGCACCCAGAAAACATCAACAGCCTAAACTTAGTAAGTTTAATGTATTATGAATAACACCATGATTGGTGTTTATCACTCGCTCTCAGAACCTCGAAGTTTTGGCAGGGTTCTTTTGATATTGCCTAGGACACTGTTGCTTAGTCTCTTCCTTATATGGTTTCAGGCACGCGTCTTGAGAGAGTTTTCTCCTGAGGAAGTATCATCTAATATTTATACAATGGTGGATGTTCTGCTTCATCATATTCAGTTGGAACTGCAGCACGGCCATTCTTTGCAGGTCCGTCAGTTGTTCCTAGGTTTTTCATTCACAATCCTGTGTTTTGCATGCCTGTGGAGTTGTTTTTACTGACATTTTATTCATTTCTTTTTCAGGACCTTTTATTGAAAGTATGTGCAAACCTAGCATTTTATATTTGGACCCATGAGTTGCTCCCTTTGGATATTTTGCTCCTGGCACTTATTGATCGTGACGATGACCCCCATGCTCTACATATCGTGGTACGTGCTTTCAACTTATTAAAAAGAACAAGGGTTAATGTGAGAATTCCACTTTTATTTATTAAACAAACTGATCTGGAAATTTACTACAATGCAAGATACGTTCTTGATGCAATTATGTGCTAATATGTGATGCAGATTAGTCTACTTGATAGGCAAGAACTTCAACAAAGGGTGAAACAACATTGTTCGAATCGAGGTCCCCCTGAACACTGGCTTGTCTCTGCACCCTTTAAGCGAGTTGAATTGCAAAAGGCCCTCGGGAATCATCTATGTTGGAAGGACAGGTTGCATTTGTTAAATATTTTTCTTTCTTATTTTTGGGGTTTGAAGTTGGTATGGTTTTTATGCTAAGATAAGAATCATAACATAGAAGCTAAACTTTGTGAATCGCTAAAGCATATATTCACTTACATGGTCTTTTATGTTATGCAGGTATCCCACCTTCTTCGATGATATTGCAGGGCGTTTGATCCCCGTCATTCCATTGATAATTTATAGACTAATTGAAAATGATGCCATAGATTCAGCTGATAGAATTCTGCTCATGTATTCTCCATTTCTTAAATACCACCCTTTAAGATTTACTTTTGTTCGTGACATACTTGCATATTTTTATGGCCATCTTCCCGGAAAGCTTATTGTCCGAATATTGAATGTACTCGAAGTCAACAAGGTAAAGACTTTGCTCTCCTTTTTATTCTTTTGGTAATCAGCATTGACTTTTTAGTACTATTTTCCTCCAGTTACTTTATTAACTCCAAGTTTGTTTCAGATCCCATTTTCTGAGTCATTCCCGGTGCATATGAATAGTGCCATGTGCCCACCTGCCGATTACTTTGCAAGTCTCTTACTGGGACTAGTGAATAATGTCATTCCCCCATTGCATAACAACTCAAAATCTGGAACGAGTGATGCTTTAAATAATTCAATGCGTGCCCCACCTAATAAGACTCCACCACCGTCTCAGTCTGGGCAAGCAAATGTTTTCGACGGCCAAAAAGCATTCTACCAAATTCAGGATCCAGGCACATATACTCAGCTGGTTCTTGAAACAGCAGTAATTGAATTGCTCTCTCTTCCTGTATCTGCATTCCAGATTGTATCATCACTTGTTCAGATTGTCGTCAATATACAACCAACATTAATTCAATCCAGCAATGGCCTGCACGGAGCTCCAAGTGGTGTTGGGCAAGGCTCCATTTTACCAACATCCCCTTCGGGCGGAAGCACAGATTCCTTGGGCACGAGCAGGTCACCTGCTTCAGTATCAGGAATAAATGCATCTAACTTTGTTTCTCGAAGTGGTTATACATGCCAACAATTGTCTTGCTTATTGATCCAAGCCTGTGGTCTACTACTGGCTCAGCTGCCTCCTGATTTTCATGTCCAACTCTATCTGGAGGCGTCGCGTATAATAAAAGAAACGTGGTGGCTCACTGATGGCAAAAGGTCAATGGGGGAACTGGACTCTGCTGTCGGTTATGCTTTGTTGGATCCAACATGGGCTGCTCAAGACAATACCTCAACTGCCATTGGTATGCTACGATATATGCAATGGTTATTTACTGATAAACCTTGTTTAACTTCCCTGTGCGAGAGTTTATATAGTTAACTCTGTCACGATTCCAGGTAATATTGTCGCGCTGCTTCATTCGTTTTTCAGTAACCTCCCACAGGAATGGCTAGAAGGGACCCATCGTATCATCAAACATCTCAGGCCAGTGACTTCAGTTGCAATGTTGAGAATAGCATTCCGGATCATGGGTCCATTGCTCCCTAAACTAGCCAATGCGCACGCCCTCTTCAGCAAGGTACAAAAATTCACTTATTCGGAACTTTTATTACAATTTCGTTAAAGCTTTCAATCATTTCCAATGCGTATTTGAATGTCATCAAATTAAAGGTGATATGTATTAATAAATTTTCTATCCTTTGTTGCTTAATCATTGCCATCACCTGTTTCAGACCCTGTCATTGATTTTAAGTATGATGGTGGATGTCTTTGGGAAGAACGTACAGCCACCGACTCCTGTCGAGCCATTAGAAATAGCAGATCTTATGGACTTCTTGTAAGTGCTTCTCTGTCATTGAAACTAACAAATTTTCTGTTTGTGGTTTGATATAGCTGTTGTTTAGTAGTGCCTGACGATAGCTAACCACACATAACCCGTTGTGTTTCTCAGCCATCACGTCGTCCACTACGAAGGGCAGGGAGGTCCCGTGCAGGCTAACAGCAAGCCCAGACCAGAGGTCTTAGCTCTTTGTGGAAGAGCTGCGGAAAGTCTGCGTCCGGACATACAACACCTTCTTTCCCACTTAAAACCCGACACGAATTCTTCCATTTATGCTGCTACGCATCCCAAGTTGAACCAGAATTCATCGTAAGTTTTCGGGTTCTTTAGCAATTCTCATAAGCTGATAGCACGATTTTTGAGATAATTATAGAAAACTAGAGAGGACGTTCCTCTTTAGAGTATGTAAAGTCGTGTATGTAACCAGCGAAAGGCAGGCTTTAGGTGGATTTCGTGTATGTTTTCATAAAGAAATAATGTCAATATTGTTTATTCACCCAAAGTATTTTTTTTATATTCGAGCGATATTATAATCTAATTTATTGTTGTATCACGATCACACGGGAGTATGGGATAGTGTTTGCATTTCAGAAACGTTTCTTGTGTCATAGGTTCTATAGGAACTGGACGATACTATTTGGTCAAATATAATAGAATGAAAAAATTTGTGACCACCAAAAATATTCTGTTCTTTTACAATCGTATTCGTATCTGCTCCTCGATATGCCACCACGGTGTTTGAAATAAATATTAAAAAGCGTGATGATATGTATTTTAATTTTTCACATGACATTGCATTATTACATCGAGATGTCACAATGCAAAGAAATCTCTATACATTGACATTAAACTTGTAACTCACAAAACTTGATTTAAGACCCTTTATTTACATTAGTAGAGAAAAATACTACAGTTTAATTGTATCTATTTATTTCTCCATATTACCCAGTAATTACAGTGTCGCGTGTTCAGCTTTTAGTATTTTTTCATTAAATATAAACAATACTTAACGAAAATTAATCGTACAAATTATAATAAACAGATAAAATATAAAGAAGATGATGGAAGATGCTCCCCACACATCCGGATAACAGACATAGCAGGACTGCTCTTTTACATTGCCCCTTCAGTAAACGAGGTGGGGTCCGCGGCATATGTGGACTAGACATACCCTACTCGTCACGTCGCTACAAAAGCGGAGAACGGATCATCTTCATAGATAAGCAGTCAAAGCTTTTTTATCAAACAATTCGGATCATTGATTGATGTGCAAGTCAAATTAAGATAGTCGATTGTGTGTTATGGGTAAGAAAAATGAATTAATAAAAACCATTGAATTAAATTTATGTGATCAAGATTGTTTGATGTGAAAACTCTGGCTCCTTAACTCCGAAGAAAATCCGTTCTCATGTGAATGCTTAGACGATATTGCACGTTATTGTGGGGACACCCACTGACTCATGTCCAGCAATTATTGTCCCACCAGTCAAACTCAGTCTCTACCAAAAATAATGTCGTTCCAAACGTGAATATATGTTACCATCAGTCCAGTCTAGTTCAGTTTCCCACGACTCACGCCTACACTGCCCTTGTAACATCGCGTCAAGTATCACCTTGTGATTCGTAATCCAAACCTACACCCTCATGTTTTGCCACTCCTGTCTTTTTTGGGCGAGTCTTGCCGAATAATCTATGGTCGAAATATCATAAGCTCGAGTTGTAAAATACGAGAAGTCTTGTTAACTTAAAAATTGTCTTTATCGTGTTTCTTTTGTTGAGGATAAATCTTGACACAACAAAAATATTACTCTTTTGTAACAAAAAGAATACGAATTCGAGTTGCGAAAACAGCTTCATGCTTTAGTTGAAAGGTTGAACATTTTTATTAATTTAAAACATATGTTTAGTTATTTTCACAACTGAACAATAATAATAATAATAACAATAGAAATTTATATATTACACAAAGTTGTTCGTTCAACATTACAGAGTCAGATACGGGGAAAAGGATCCGACTAGCATCATCAAAAAAAAAAAAAAAAAAGGTGGGGTGCCAAAACCCTACAAAACACTTCGGGACTAAACTTAAATTCTAAAACAGTAAGGATAACTGTTATTTTTCACAAAGAATGACAATGTGATTTGCATATTTAACTTGTACTACGCAAAATTTGAAATAATTATCCCTTCTGCTTTAAGCATCAAACATCATCGTTGTTCTCCTTGTTGACCGAAATTCACTCGGTTGGATTTCGGAGTGCCATATTCCGGTGATTTCTTGTCGAAATTGTATGGTGCTGCACTCATCACCCTGCACAGACGAAAACAGAAGTCGATATATTATTAGCTGTCCAATTCCAATCAGATTTATTAATCTGCCCGCGTTTCTATTTGAGGTAATAAGTTAGGTCAGCTGTTTAGATTTTCCTCGAAAAGTATAGTAACCTTTACAAAAAATCCAATCAAAGGCAACTCAACTCAAGCAGGACAGCGGCCAGATGGAAACATCGAGCCCTCGCACTACTAAAATTTTCCAAGGCACGAGGTTCTCCGGTCCTCATACCATATGTGCCATTCACGAGATAACCTCAGCAAAAATAGCCAACTCTACAGACCATAGGTTCTTATGTACAAAACAAAGGCCCTAATTCTTACTCTGATGGACCCTGAGCAATTCATAATAGTTTCCAAAATAATATAGTTGGAATGAACGAAAATTACCTTTCCTTGCGCTTCTCTAAAAATCGAGCCAAGGAAGCTTTGCGAGCCTGTGGAACATCTGTACAGAAAAGCATATGCCAGTTTAGATGGCAAACATTGTCCAATCAAGGGGGGGAAAAAGGGCAAAAGGTTGTGATCACATATCTGAGATTGCACACAAAAAATACTCCTAAGTTAAGAACCAACTTTCAATAAGAGTATCATACCAGAAGGAACTATAGAAGGAGCCTCCATTTTGTTAACAGGACTGGTTGGACGTCCGGTCGTTCTAGCTGACATTAGTTCATCAGTGCTGGTGGACCCACTTACTGACTGGGCACCAGTATGTGAAGAAACAGATAAGGGGCTAGAAAGAGCAGATGGGGGTATATTTGCAGGCTGATTCACAGCAACACCGTCTTCCACCGCCAACTTTGCACTCGGTGCTTGAGCTTTGGGCTGTGCAGCACTCGAGGAGTTAGAACAACTGTTTCCAGCCAAAAGCATCAGTGCCTGAGCCTGAAAAGACATCCCTAAACAATTTTAGAGCTGACTTAAGACCCAATAGAAGGTTGTCAACAAGAAAAGCCTGTGTTTTCATGTGCGCGCTGGGCACGTGTGTCTGTGTGTGTTTGACCTATAGAGTGAGGGAGGGTACCTTCTCAGGGGAGATATCATCATAGACATTCACAGTACCAGCGTAAAAGATTGTCAATTGTGAAGGAGACCCAGAGGTCTTGACTTTGTTCCTACAAAGAATGTTTTAACAAACCTCAGAATTCAATTGTTTTGATGAAATGGTCGGCCAAGGACTCGAGCATAATATTAAAAATTACCATGGCTCAGTGATCCCAGCAATGGAACCACCTGTAACGGGAAGAGCTGAAATTGGAGCCGTCTGCTTCATGGTAGTGGTGGAAAAATTCTGACCAGTAGTAGTAAAGTGATTCTTCAAGTAAGGCTTGCTCATTAGAACAGAAATCCCTTGACTTGTAACTGAAATCATCTTCGTATCATGAGGACGGTGCACAGAATGCATATCACGTTGCCTAGGATAAGCTGTCAGAGAAAAATGAATCCCACCTTGCCTATCGTGATTGAAGTTCTTCTAGATAATAAAAAACACAAACCAATGAGGCGAAGGGCAGCAACAATACCAGAAGACACTATTTGATCCTAATCTTCCCAACACATCAATTATTTACGGCGGTGTTATTAACCAAATAATGAATCAAATCGATCTACAAGTCAAATATACAAAACACAAGAGAATGACACGATAATTAACCAACAACGGCGACAACATATACCTGAGATTCATATGTAGTTTGTTTTCGACAAAGGTCAAATGCATCCGCAGAGATGGAAGACAAGAATGAATCAGGTACCATTTTTTTAGTCCTATCATCTTGAGCAGCTTTGAAGGACATAAACTGAGGAACTGCAGAGACGTTGTTTGGAAAGGGCCAATGTGCCCTTCCACCTCTTCCATACCCTAAACATTACAAACAAATAAATAAAAACAATCACATCTTAAAGATAAATTGTTCACTGTTTGTTAACAGAGCGATATTTTAATTAATCTAATCAAACTACGGGGATGGATAAGGTTCTAAAAGACACTAGGCGCTAGTCGGGTGGTGAGCTGGGGCTTAATGCCTTGGCAGACTAGGCAGATTTAACTAAGTTCATTATATTTCATGTAAATAAGTGTATGTTTATACTTAAAATATATATAATTTCATTATAAATTATAAAATAAAATGACACATATATTATGAAGTATTGGAATATAATGAAAACATAGAGAACAAGCATAGTATTCAACAAGTTTCTTACAATTTATTGAAAAAAATAAAATGCAAAATGAAAGTTATCTATTTTCTGCTTAAGTTGCAGCATAGGCGGATGTCTAGATGGGTATAGGCGGGCTAGGCGGGTGTATGTGGTCTAGGCGGACGCCTCAGCAAGTTTAAAGGTTTTTTCTTAATTTTCAAATAACTAGACATTAATCAAAACAGTGGCTAGCCACCTAGCGTCCAGGTTAGGCGGGGATTTTTCACATACATGCTAAGTAAACCAAATTCAAATATAGACAAACCATAAAAAAAACAAGCATTATGTACCTTCTACTAAAATTCAAACCATTTAATCATTTCTAATAACTTACCAGCTATGCAAATTTAAAATTGATCAACTCCAATTGAACTAGAAAATAACATATAATTCATAGACCAAAAGCTCAAAAATTCCAAATTTAAAAATTTGAAAACCTGAAAACTTTCTGTGACTAAAAGACAAATGGGAATATCACAGACCTGGGTCTTTGCCGCCATCGTTGTTGGTCTCCTCCTTCACCACAACCACCGGCTCCCTTGAGTTCAAACCCAAGAAATCTCTCTCCATCTCAGCGGCCCACCACAATCACTCAAAAAGAAAAAAAGCAAACAAAAAAGTCGACCTGAAAAAAAATCTAACACAATAAATCCTTCAACCAAAATCCCGAGCTATCTGAGAGTTATAAGGAAAATACTTCCGCCTTCAGTAAACAAAATATAAAGAAATTACAAGGTCCCGAGTCTGGAGAGAGAAGGAAGAGAGAGAGAGAGAGAGGAGAGAGAGAGAGAGGGACTTTGCTTTGACAAGGAACTGAGAGTAATGGAAACACGTGGGGGAAACGTTCGAGCAACACGGATTGGTTCCCAGTGCCACCTGCGAGTGGATAAATAAGCGGTGGCGCAACATTGCACCACGTGATTAGATTGATAATTGATTGGATAACCTCCTGAACAAATAGATAGGCATTTATGTCGTACATTGAATATAATAATACAAAAGAGCTGTTATTCTCATCTCAGTGTCTTATATTTCCATCTATTTTTTTATGAATTTTTAATAAGGCCCTTAGTTACCCCTTTTTGCCTTATTTTTTTTTTATATAAAAAATAAAAAAGAAAAGTTTGGGCTTGATAACTCGCACGCTATGTTTAGATGATTTGTCTCCCTTAAATCCTAACTCATCATTCTCATCTACTTTCATTCAGAGAAAGCGAAAAGAATGAACTTAGAAGATGATGTTTCTATGGAAAAAGTAGATGACTATATTTCTATCGAAGAAGTAAAAGATAACTTTATGTGGATCATCTTGATTTGTCCACATCGTATAATTGAAGCATAGTCATGTGACTTTTTATCTCTAATTATATATATATATATTAAGGGTTATTTTAGGAATAATAGTGGGTGAGAAAATAACATTTTAATTTTTTAACTTTTTATAATTGGTGTAAATATAAAGTGGATGAGAAAATAAAACAACGGAATGAATCTAGCAGCTCTCTAATACAATTAGTTAAAATTTTAAAAATAAAACTTCAGTCATTTGAATTGCAACACTTGATATACCGTGTACTGAAAAAGTTTCTCTAAGCATAAGAGTCTAGCCAATTATGAATGCGATTCATTTTCTTGGATTGATTTATTTGTGTGATAAGTCTAAAAAGTGAGTATATATGGTACTCTTTAATGAGTACGTAAGTATTATTCAAAAGATAACACTGCACTCACTAATTAAAGGTTAATCGACCTTCCTAGTTCCTACCGTGAGTAGTGAGTATGCTATGCTCCAATTCATGTGTGATATTCGACCACGTTATTCATAGTATGCCTTCTATTTCTCCTCCTAGGAAATTTTGAGGCTCTCTCAATTCTGAGGCGTGACAGTGAGGTGACACGTGTCCCCCCATTCGTTTAATTTGTGAGTTGCACCACAAGAAGCCATCTGTTGCACAAGAAAAACGTTTTTTTCTGTTTTGATTTATTTGTATTTTTATATAAAGCATTGGCTCTTTTATTGTCCTTTTTGGTCCCATAAGATTTTGAGGTCTACATTGTAGATCTATAATCTGAACGTATGTGCACGTGATAGAGTACATATAATATCTAACCATTCTTTGTTTTCAAGTGCAATCAATATTTTAATGCAACAAACAACTTATTTAACCGCTATAGTTTGGATTGAAAAAATCTCATACATGAATTGGAGGTTAAAATTTTTGCCGTTTGTTACTAATAGCATCGATATTGTTTCAACTTAACACCCGTGCAATCAATAAGTGCAGATTTTATGCAAAATGCCTCAATACAGTTAAAAGTGAAACCATTTGATATAAGTTGTAATTTATTTTGTAAAATGACCGATGTCAAACTCTGCACATTACTCTTGTTCTAGCAAAACTCGATTCAAAAGTTGAGATTTTATCATAAAATTAATTATCGATACAGTTTATTATTTCTCCAATGTTGAAATTCATGCTAATACTCAAGTATTTGCATGGTTAAAAGAAATTTCAAGTTCGACTCACGATGTAAGGACGACACATACATATATATAATAGAGCGAAGTGGATACTAAATTATCCAACACTGCACAAGTAAAAGATTTCTTATTATGAATTTTACCATTCACAAAATCAATTTTGTACATTTCAATTTGAATTAAGAACTCCACTGCACAAACATAATATTCAGTATTTCGAGTGTTTTAATCATTAAATTTTGATTTTGGTATATTTTTAAATTCCAAGTCCCATAAGTATTTATCAGTTGAATTTTAAAGCTGTAACAAAGTAAAATTATTAACGCTAGCGGGGCCTAAAACAGTGACTAAAAAGTAATTAACAGCAAAACAATAACTGCATCAAAAATTACAAAGATCAAAATTCATTGAGATTTCTGCATTGGTAAATCAAAACCACAGAAAAATACATGCTTCATCTTATGTGCATATAAGGTGAAAAAATGGGTATCCAAAATGTAGTTTGGCTGAAGAATTACAAGGTGAACGGGAGAAGCAAATGCACGAAGATACTGACGGCTCAAACCTTACACAGGAGCAGCAGCTGAACCGCTCGTAAGTGGTTCACTTACCTCAAGGAGTTCATTACACAGCCCCGTGAAAACAACCGAATCTGTTTCGATGGGTTTGAACTTGACAAGAGCCGAGGGCATCAAATCCTCATCAGCTAGTGTTGCTGCTTTCTTTCCTGCTGCTGGAAAATGAGGGATCACCCGCCGTTTGAGGGCTACAGGATTTAACAGCTCGAATTCCAAACTAGGCTCTTTCAGCGCCGAGCTCACATACTGGTTCATCGAGAACCAGCAATAAGAAAAAGAATAAAAATTGTTGAACTATTGACTTGAAATAAATGCAGTAGTAAGGAACAATTTGCAGCCCGGCAGAACACTCAAACACGAATAGTCTATATGTATCATGTGTTGGATTTGTTTTCATTTCCCTCAATTTGGGCTGGCTACGTAATAATTTTCCAAGCAAACTTGTTCTAGACATCGAAGACTACATCTGTATTCGAACATCAAAAACTAAACATATTATGCAGCACAATACATGAAATCTCAAAAAGCGGGAGAAAATGCAGATTCCGATAGTTGTTGACAAGTTTGCTTGGAAAATTAGTACGAGAGCTGAAAAAGAAGCAGAAACTTGTTCCAACATATCTATACATAGACATGCACACTCCTACAGAATATTTATTTCACCCTGTTGTACTATATAAAACTTGCTATACTCTAGAATGACGATTGATCAAGAGATTAGGAGGATGGTAAAAGACTAACCTCGTACAAAGAGCTAGTTGGCTCCAATGGAGAAAAAACACCCTGGAGCACCACTCCATCGGGAAACTGGATCCGGATAACAGTTTTTCTGTATCTCCTTTTAGCAGCTTTTGCCTGCTTTTCCTTGAATGACTTTGGGATCAACATTTGTGAATCTTCAATCTTCTTCTTTCTCATTTCAGCTTCTCTTTTCAGCTCCGTAGCTGAGAGGTTGTAGAAAGATGCTGGTACCTCAATTCTTGCTGCCACACTTTCAGAGACCGAAAAGAAGACCCTCGTCTGCACAAGAAAAAAGTTTGGTGAACCAGAAAAAGTTAATTGAAAGAAATGGATGACATAAATCTGAAACAGGAAGCACTACAAATCACAAAACGAAGGGAATCCCGCAATATGAAATGCAGGGCGTATTTAACTTTAATAGTAAAAAAAATGGCAATACCAAACAACGGAATCATTTGACGTTATTAAACAGAGAATAAACGTAATATGAGCACTTATCTATAACCAGTTTGATCATTTCAATGATTACCAGAAATATAGAAAACTTAATGACAAGGACATTGGACCAGAACATTTTTTCTGATTTCCAACCACTTCGACATCAAGATGAACCTTAACATTGGAAATTTTCTGTATAATATCATCATTTTAACTTTTGTTTTGGGCTGAAGTGCTTTTATCATCATTTAACTGGAGTCTTCTGATGACTTTTTTGGTTTAAAATTGCCTTGATTTTTCTTTCAAAAGCCATCTTCATACCTGGTGATTGACTAAATGGAATTGGGCAAGCTATATGCTATTACGATAAGAAGTCACTTCTTTACATGCTGCCTTAGAGCCTACTTCAAAACCAGACTAGTTGACCAATTCCAATGAATGCGCAGGTAAGCGTTGTTGAAAATCAATGCAACAGTCTCCAGACTATCAATTGACTGATGAATCCTTTACCACCATAGGTTTGATCGCTTACGATTTTAAGTATTGCTTTCCAATCTTTTCAAGTTCCTAATCCAATCGATGCTGAGATTCTATAATCCTATCATAACATACATTTATAACTTTTGGGAAGGATATTCCCAAGACATAAAGTAAATGATCAACTATTATTAGCATGCGAACACTGCCATAAACGATGAAACAAAAATGAACAAGAAACCAAGGATAGACTGATAGTTAACATACCTGCCGGTCGACCTTCTTTGGTTCAACTGGTTCATCCACCTTCAATGAAGCAATGGATGCCGAAATATCTACTTCTTGTACCTTCGGCGGTTCCAGTAATGCTATTCCCCCTTTCATCAAATTAATTTGTTCTTCCTTTGGAACCTCCATGACCGCCCACATCTCCCCATCCTCCTCTTTCAATTCGAACCCCACAAACTCCAGCAACTCAATGCCTCCCACAACCTCACCAATGGCCTCCCTTATCTTCGGATTACTCATCCGAATCCTTCTAAACTTAACGTTCTCCGGTTCCTTAACTATATTCCTCAACAGCCTCAGAACAACCTCAACTGACCCGGCAGCCGGATTTCCCGAAGCAAAGGTACCAATGCGAGCTTCCAATTCGCTCCTCGACAACTCAGACCTGTTATCCGGCGACCCCGACACGCCAACACCCTCTACACTTTTGGTCTCCACCGTAGTATTAACACAGCTATCTACATGTACGGAGACCTCGTCTTCCGACCTAAAAGATTGCCCGCAAATCGGACATTCGAAGACATTTAGCGTAAACCCGTTCTGGGATCTCTTCCCCGGCGTGATCAGAGCGTCAAACGGATCAAACCCAGTTTCCGTTTTCCGATCAGGCTTCGAATCGATCGACGGCTCCGCCTTGCTCTGATCAGGAATTTGCGTTTTCTCCTGATCAATAATCTGCGTTTTCTGAGGCGAAGGCTTGGGATTTGGGAAGGCGACCGAAGAATTTGGATTCGAATTCGAAACGGGTTTGGGATGGGATTGGGGAGCCTGCTTAGGGCGAGTGAGGACCGAATCGGCAGGGCCGGAGGAAGAAGACGATCCCAAGACTCGGCCTTGGCCCTTGAATTTACCGGAGGACGAAGACGAGAAGGTATTCTTCATGAAGCCCTTGAACTTGTCTTTCATGTCACCCATATCGATGTATTGAAAGAAGAAGAAAAAGAGGAGCTGAATCGAATCCAATCAAAGGTTGATACGAAGCGGAATCGGGAGATGAAATTAGTGTTTGAGAGGGGGATCCTGGAAGGGAACGGGAAAAGCGTGGCGGATTGGATTGGATTGGACTGCACTGGATTAAGAATGAGGGATTAAGAGGAGGGGAAGTGCCTTGGTTGCTTCTCCCTTCCTGGTTGACTTTTGCTCCATTGGCCGGGGTTCGTTGGATAATTTTCCCCGCCAAACGGCCTTACGAGCTTCATAGGCGGGTTTTTTTTCCCTGTCAATTTAATATTTTAATACTTTTGTTCTATTTTGGGAATAGGCTTTACTAGTCCTTTTACAAATACATCAACCAAAATTTTTCATCTCAAAATGCAATTTTTACCAGGTAACTTTAACGAAAAGCTCTCGGTACTGTTTATTTTAACAAAAAACCACATTTTTACACTAAAAAGTCAATCCTGGTACTATTGACTTTACCCTTTATTTTGTCATTATCGTTAAAACTCAAAATTTTCAAACCATTTTCATTAGTTTTCCTTTTTTACTAACCTTCTTTGACGAGAATATCCCCATTATTGTGTAATAATAATATTGTCTTGAGAATGTATTTATATTATGTCGATATAAGAATAATTTTGTCAGATTGGACAAGTAGATATTACACTATAATAGGAAGGCCATTTTTGGTTTGTGAATTTGTAAAGGGCTACTAAGCCCAAAGTGTGCAAGTTTTTTATTTTCATTAATATTGATTCTGACTTTGACAAATGGATCATGTTTGTTTATCATGTTATCAGTACGTGTCGTCCCAACATGTAGAAGGAATTTGAAATTCAACCTTGACTCATATCATTCGTTTAGAACATTTTCTTTTTTGGCGAATCGAACTTAAAACTTCAATTGTAATTTCTAACCATGTACTGAATTCATCTTTTGAGGAACATCGTTATATTATTGTACTAGGATTACTTAGCTGAAAAATGGCCGGCCCTTTCCGAGGTTTTTAATCCTGAATCTGGGAAGTGCAGAGTTGTTCCGCATCCCCCTTGGCTGTTGGTAAATCTACCCCTAGTCCTGTCCAGTTGCCCACCACTACTCCGCTTTCGGGCACAAGCTTGCGGTTACAATTGAGTCGTGCATGTTGGACGCTCGTGAAGAGGAATGGGTGCCATAGGACATTCAACATCGCGTATAAACCTCTCCCTAGTTTAGCACAATTCAAAGACCGACTTTTGTCCGTCAACGGGAATTAAGTGACATCCTTACTTATCGGTTCGATTCATATGTGCATCGTTTGTTCTTCTGGCATTCAACACTCGGAGTTGTGGCGTCTATGTCCGGTGGTGTTCTCAGACTATCCCGACAATCAAGTCCTCCGCTCTATCAAGGGCAAAGGAACAAACTAATTCGGTAACGAATTATCCATGGATCTTCCCACCGATTATCATGAGTGATCGTTCAGATAAGCCTGATGTAAATTGGAAGGAGGAAATTCTTCCTTGGCTGGATAGGGAATTTACAATGCCTGGCGTTCGGAGTGTTGGGCGCGTGGAAGGGAAGCGATAGCAACTTGAGTGGCCATACCAGTCAAGATGATCAGAGTCGTGGAGATGGGCAAAGGCTTCAAGACAAGAATCACAGAAAACGCTGTTGAACCATAGACATTAATCTTGTTCTAGCTTTCAATAAGAATTCACACAACATTATCGACCTGAGTATTATACTTGTCAAATGAGCCTTGAAAAGAACATCAGAAAACCATACCTGAATCGAACGCATCATCCCTGTTGAAATATCTGATGAGAGCAAATCGGGTGTAGAATCAAGAATATGGAAGATAGAATGCACAGATGCAGTAAGCATCTTTGAAAAAATCCTCCTCGTATTTAGCCACCACATCCCTGACTAGCAGGCAATTCGCAAAGCTAACACGGAAGAAATATTGTGCATCTTTGCTATAATTACAAGTTCACAATCATGCCTAGACTTCTTATGAAGCCACGGCCAACTCAGTGCCTGGTTTTTCTAAGAACAGATCCCCCAAACAACAAGCTCCATCCAGAGACCTACAGGGTAAGAAAGCAACCTAATTCCAATGTCCTTCTGAAAGAAAATGGCTTTCCACTTTTCAAACAAGCAGCGGTCTGCTCCCTACAAATGGAGAAGGTCGTAACTGATACATCATGAGTGTCGGGATGACCCAGCTCAGGGATCTTAACTCTAAGCTAGGTTGACTAGAACACTTCACTGCAGACAACGGCAATATGTGATCAACACAACCAACCACTGACCTAGACTGCGAACAACCCTATTTTCCTTAACCAGCCAGCTAGATTAGATACTTAGCCTCTTTGCTTAGCAGGTGGCCAAGTTCCGGTTTTGTGGCCTCCTTCTAGATTCATACCGCTATGCCTTCTACAACTCTAAAAGAACATACTATGTCTTCCTTCCGTCAGCACAAGCTTAACGAGTGGACGGAAACAAAATTTTGAGGCTAAGAACTGAAGGAAGAGACACAGAATGCGAGAGACATAGCCAACCCCCAATAATACAAAGGCAAAGTATAAGCCACCACACGGATCGTGCTTATCGTCAGTCTATGCCACCTTAATCTCTAGTCCATCTACAACAACAATTGACCAGAAAATGCCAGTCAACTCTGTTACGATCAACGCCTAAATGGGGTATTACTCTAAACTAATAAATACACAAATTACAAGTTATCTCCAAGTAATCTAAACTCAGTCCCCTAAAAGCAAAATTATAAAATATAATAGATGAAGACTCAAATATTGAAAAGATTAATTATACTAACAACATTCCCAGAAATTCAGAGACATATTAGTAATTTCCAAGTGCCAGATTAAAAGCAAAACCCTAGTGGCTAATGCCACAAAACTATAACATCACATAACACAGAAATTCGAAAATCCGATATAAAAGAAGTGCAATTAACCCAATAATCTCTCCGTCGAAACACAAAATAAAGCTAAAGGCTTGGAAATCGAAAGGCAAACCGAGCGGAATCAGTCGCGATTCTTCAAGCGCTCGACGCGCTGGTTCAACTGCTCGATGCGGACAACGAGGTGGGTGACGGTGTAAAGGAGCCAGTAGAAGATCAAGGCGGCGGCGATCAAGAGCGCGTTGCGCTGGCTCTTCATGATCGACTTCTGGTGGCGGAGGTGCTCCGAGGGAGTGCAGGAGTCGCCTTCGCAGCTCGGGCGAGTCTCGTACTTCCAGTAGATGTCCATGAGCAAGAAAAGGCAGAACGGCACCACCGAGAGAAACGGTTTGAGGAGGTTGCGGGTGACCGTGACGAGGCCCTTGCGGAGGCCGTCGAGGCCGGGGATCGTGAGGAGGACCACCATGATCGCCTCCGCGGCGGCGGCGTATCCGAGGACAACCCACTCCAACGCCATCAGATCTCTGTGCTGCTCGCTTTTCCGGTTCTGGTTTTTTGGGAAATTTCAGAAATATGCTTTGCTTCGTCTCTCGATTTCTCTCAGCGCCTTAAACTGGGCCGATAAAATTGTTGGAGGACCGGGTGAGTAAGTAAAGGCTGGCGAAAATTCGACACGTGGTGGCTCGTTGCTTGGACTGGTGGACGATCGTGATACAGGTGGAAGCGATTTGCAATTAGGCCCCAAGTTTTTGGTTTTTTTAACTTTTGAGTCGTTTTGACCCCAATCCATGTCTTCTGTGGTCAGCAAGGCCCAACCCAAATTTTTGGTATACTTATTGTTTTCGGCTTTCAGTTTGGTTCTTTATCTGTTAATTAGTTTTGAGTTGGATGCTTACGTTTCATAACATACTATTCGTCCAAAATCCTCACTTGATCTCACGTGTCTCCGAATAAGAACTGCCCACTGCTCCGCTTGTTGAGTACAAAAGATTTTACACCTACGGTCTTATGTTAAGAGTTTTTCGCATTGAATGACAAAAGTCTAGCATGTTATTGTGTAGTATTTCATAACATACTATTTATCCAAATCCTCACTTGATCTCATGTGTCTCTGAATAAGAACTGTCCACTGCTCCGCTTGTTAAGTACAAAAGATCATACACGTACGGTCTTGTGTTAAGAGTTTTCCACAACGAATGACAAAAGTCTAGTATGTTATTGTGTAGTATCTCTATATGACGTGTTTTTTTTTAGTATGCATCAGTCTATGTATCGAGAATTGTTAATATTGAACTTTAACTCTGCATTCAACTCTCTATTCATTCAATGCACGTCATACACCGAAACATATAGTTTTAAATTGAACATCAGTGCGTTGAGAGAGAAAAAGAGAGGGGGGGGGGGTGTTCGGCAGCTTCTTTGTCATTTTCATATCTTGAACACGCACATGCACAATGAGCAGTTGTGTAGTACCCTTTTGTCCCGTCCATGACGCATCACTTTGAACAAACCCCCACAACAAAAAAGAAAAAGAAAATTTTGTACATATTAGTCTAAACCTATCAATCGTAGTTGGTGATTTAACTTTAAACTCCTTATAAGATAGGTGAGCTTTTTCAATATGTCGAGAACACAACTTATTAGGTCATATTCCATGTACAATGAAAATTTTAACTATGAGATAGATGCTCTCGCTGTTGGGATTTTTTTTTTTTGGATTAAAATCTAGTACGCCGTTTAATCTTATCAATCAAAATATTCTAACATGCCACCTTAGTTTATCACAACTCTTGCGACCTTTTTTGACTGCTTTGTCTATGCCCTTTGTTTGTTGAGGACACAGTTTCTGATTTTATGCAGAATATGCTTTCATCATTCAGGATTTCCTACAGACACATATTATATTGTACACACACACACACATATTCATATATATATATATATATATATTATAATATAATATAATATAAGTACCATTATCTGATCAAGCTAAAGAAAGACTTTAGGGCAAATTCGATATGAAGGAAAAGTTGAGATGACAAGAAGAGCGCTTAGTGAGGAGACAGCACCTGAAGGAGGAAATTTCAGCAAAATTCATATATATATATATATATATATATATTATATGCATATATGTACATGGATTAACTAGGGAGGGAAGTTGGATTTTTCGATGGCAATTGTTGAGATAGTATCGTCAGAAGCTTCATAAAATTCTGTTCAATTAGCATAGGACAGAAATGAAAATTCATAAACCCTATAGGGGCTAAAATGCAACACCAAAAGTAAGCAAATAATGCAAGAGAGAAAGGAGGGGAGAAGATTCTGCTTTAGTAGCACCCTAGTCCTACTCTTATTTCTTAATTATTAGCCAATTGAATCCACGCCTATTGTCCTTTTAAAATATTAGCTGGTGCATTTTATATCAGAGAACTTTGCCTTAATCATTGTTGCTTAGGGCCATCATTAAACAATGCTTATATACACTACTATCTTCTCTTAGATAAGTTTTTCAGTGTGACTGTCACTTTGCTAGTACCACCAATCCACTCATATTATAACACGTGTCTATATTATTAATATTACACACTTAGATCAAAGTTGCTTTGTACTCATGCTATAATATGTGGATTAATAACACCAGGTGACGATCTCACCGTCACACTAAAAAAAATAGTCATTTTCTTGACGAGTACTTTGGTCTTGAATGTTAGGCAGAGAATGCACAGTTAAATATGAGTTGGTAGATTGCAGAAAGCTACTTTGCTTATATGAGATTGAAGATTGGAATTGCAGAATAAATAAAATTTGAACTTGGCATGAAATCTTTGAACTTTTGGTTGCAGTATCAAAAGTTGCCCTCTGTATAAAATCTAAAAAGTATCAAAGTCCCATAACACCCAACAAAAGCAAAAGCATCACAAAGAAGACTTTTACCAGAAGTTTATGCTAGTTAAACACGTAATTAGTAAACAATCTAGCTAATTAACATTGTTAAGAGCAGTTAAGTGGGATTAAGAGTAAAGGAATCTTTGTGCTTCTTTTTTATCTTATTGATCAAAGTTTGCATTTCACTTGTTTTAAGGTTGCCCTTTATACATCTGTCTTTCTATCTACCCTCACTGCTTCTTTTGCAAAAGGAAATACGCCAGAAACTACTACATCAGAGAGAGAGAGAGAGAGAGAGAGAGAGAGAGAGAAAGAGAGAGAGCAATGGAGGGCGAGATAGAAAGAATTTTGACGCATAAAATAAAAAGGAGACACCGAAAGCCAAATAAATACCAGGCTTAGCTAGGAACACTTGCTCTTTCATCCAGAACCGTTCACAATCTGCATTTTATTTATTTACAACCTGCATAGTTTGTAAAAGAGTTTAATTAAGAATTACGATCTTGTATAGTATTCACGGGGAAAGAATTTACATACACTTCTCCAGATATCACAATGATGTTCCAAACTTAGTATACGATGCCATGTGCAAAGTTAAAACACGTGATATTATATTATTGGTTCACAACATTAAAGTGCATATACGTCTTTCTCGTGCATTCGGACTTTGAGAAAATAATTAGAACAAGAGAGAGATCTGGTTTCTACCTTTTTCATCGCCATACAATTTTTTTCGGAAGTAGTAAAGAAATACGACGAGTAGTGCAACTGCTGCTATAATTCCAATGAGTATTGCAAGTGTCTTCTCAAGCTCATCGTTGTCGTCATCGTCATCGTCATCAACATCATCTAAAGCAGAACAAAAAGAAAAAGGAAAAAGAACATCAAACACTTTTTAAACACTTTAGCTTTATGCACGTACAGCAAACAGAATAAAGTAATAATTATGCATCGATCGATGACTAATATGGTGATTTGATCAAATTAAGCTTGATCGGATTGTGTGTGTATGCTGTATTTCATTAACTGAGTTGTCTTTTAATTAACCAAAGTCTAATCAGATTAGGCAGCCTTGATTACTTCTGGCAGGAGGAGCAAATATTTCTTTAATTTGCAGTATTAGTGAAGTAATTCGAGTAAATTTGGATATCACTACTGCCATACTGTTGAATTTTTTATCTCAAATTTCTGGCGAGACAGAAATTCAAAGTGGGTTGCATTTATCCCATTGACATGTAAATTAAAAAAGAAACTATGAGCTTTTTGTTACACAAGAAAGTCTTATTATTTACAATATAACAGTCTTCGGGCATCTTTGCATTTCTTTATTTTTATTTTTATGAGGTTCGGCTAACGAGAGCTGCTATTAACACTCAAGAATTATTATGGACTCATCCTTGTTAGAAAAAGAGTGCATAACGATTATTTTGAAACGTTAATAGCAATTTTCCAGTCCAACTTAACATTCATCAAAATTGGTCTCATAAACCGCAAATCTATCATACATCAAACTGAATGTAACAACCACTCTGAAAAACAAAGTACTTGAATATTCCTAATCACCACCGAACACTCCCTTAGCAACACGCACACACAACACAAGCATAATTAATTAATACATCAAACAAACCTAATCACTAATTAAATACACTAATACACAAAAAGGGAAAAAGGAGAGAATAATCAGAAGAAAAGTGAATTTACCAAAACAACCATTTGGGGCGCATATTTCACCCGTAATTAAATGGGGTTATTGGGAAACTCAAATTCTTCATTTTAACCAGAGGGTAAATAACCAAAAACCAGAAAGTGGAAACCACCATCCGGGGTGGCGAAACATCTTACCATGACCGCCGTGCGAGTGATATCCACCTTCCGAGTAGCGGACGTAGCACTTAGCCAAGAACATGTCGCCCCACGCGCTGGTCCCGCACCCGGACCTGAGCTGTCCGACGGCTTCCGACAGACAATCTTGGCACTCGCTCGTACTCAAATCCCCGACACACTGCGCCACGCCCTGAACACTCCCCGAGCCGCTGACTCTGTACGGCCTGTAAGTCCCATCGCTGGTCCCAAGATATGCCAGCACGGCATCCCGCTTGGTCAACGAATCCGAGTCAAACCCAGTCGACGGCCCACATTTCTTAACAACCACGGTCTTGTCCTCCACCCCTAAGAACGTCGCGTTGTCGTACTTCACAAAGCAGCCCTCGAGCTGCAACGCGCCACCGCAGGAGTCGAGGCAGAGGGTTCCGAGTTGACTCACCGACCGAGCGACGCACTGGGAGCAGTCAATGTTGCTGAGGTCGCCGCGGCATTGGAAGAGGCCATATAGGGTGTCCTGGGAGCCGGCGGAGCTGCTGCCGGGGAAGGTGAAGTTGTTGTAGGTGGAGAACATGGCTGAGTTGACCAGGGAGGTGAGGAGCGAGTTGACTTTCGACTCGTAGGGCGAACCCGGGAGGTATTTTTGCTGGGAACAGCCACCGAAGACGAAGGAAGTGGTTGCGGAGGATGATAGGGTTGCGAGGAAGGAAATAGTGAGGAGGAAAACAAATACAGAAGACATCATGTTTTGATTTGTGAGGTGGTGGCTGTAGCAAGTTAGAAGAGAGAGAGAGAGAGAAGTTGGAAGAAGTAAGGCTTTTGAATTATGAAGTGTGAAGATTCAAGAGGTTGTTAATGGAGTGCTTTCAGGTAACAAATGAAATATGAATATTTGGAAAGGCATATAGACTGCAGCACTCTTTTAGTGTGTGTGTCACTGTGTGTGTGGGGGCCGGGGGGGGGGGGGGGGGGGGGGCGGGGTTTGAGGGAGAGAGGGAGGGAGGGAGGGAGGTAGGTCAGGTTGCTTAGTGGGGAATTAACGTGAGGGATTTAGAAACTTGATGAGCGTGACTTACTAACGAGTAATCTCTTCCCATGTAACAATCCAGCGTTAACTTTACGTGGTGATGTTAATTCATATATATCCTCCCACACATATTTATTTCGAACTCTACTGCCTCTCCTTATTAACTAAATGAAAAAAAATAAAAAATTACGTACATTTGATCTTTTTATACCTACTCCAACCCTTGGAGTAAAACTCAAATTTAAGGTTTTAAATCCACTCAAACTTGCTCAACCCTTGGGACAAATATGAATTGCAACGCAAAACTCATTTCTGGGGAAATTTAGGCCAGGCTGTCCCCCCAGGGTTAGTGGGCTGACCCATTATATACGTGTATTTTTTTTTAGTTTTATATTTATAAATTCATTAAATTCAACAACTAAGATTTAATATGATCAAATCCAACGGTAAAAAAAAAAAAAAAAAAAACCTCACGGTCTAAATTTAAATCTAACGGTTAAAGTAATTAAAACCCATAAAATGTTGGAGCAAAAAAATTATTTCTGAGTTAAAACCTAAAATTTATGAGTTAAAAATTTTAAGTTTTAACCCAAAGGTCGAAGATGATCTTATGTACTCATCCATTTGTTTATTCTTTTATCTTCTTTTGATTTATATGCGTTAGACTATAGATGGCCATATGAAGAAAAAAAATTGACGGTTATGATGCATGTGGTGTTAATTTTGCATTATGGCCATTAAAGTTAAAGCTTAGTTGGCTTGAAATTAGTGAGTATAAAAGTCAATTATAGTTGAGGTTACGGTTGACCACGGCAGCATAATTTTTTTTATTAAATTATGAGTCTGTTGAATAAAAAATTGGAAGCCCCTAGAAACATTTACCTATTGTAACTAATAAATTTGCCGTTTGGAAAGTAGCTAGTTAAAGTTGGTCCATACTCCACAATCATTCAACTGCTTCCATGGCCTCCAAGTTTAGGTGTAAGCTAACTAGGGCTTAATTATTTGGACTTCCATGACCTCCAAGCATAGGTGTGGCTTTTGATTTAGGTCTAGACATACATAAGGGGCGGCCACGATTCCCCGTCCAATTAAACTAAGTGAAAATCAGCAAACTAATAATGATAAAGTGAATCTTATTAGGAGAAGAAAAGTATTTGTAGTTAATCAGGCACGGTGATTTTCTCTGCCTTGTTCAACGTCTAATGTAATAAATTTATTAATGATTGAAAGGATGGTATGAATAAACAAAATAAATGTAGGAATCGCATAATTAATTAAGAGGTGATTAACTTTGTCACAAGAATTAGATTAGCTATCGTCATCGAGGAATCCAGTTGTTTAGTCACTAAGGTGCAAAAAAAAAAAAAAAAAACCCTAGCCAGCGTATGTACGTTATTAATTTATACGATATGATCTTTCCATATGAATATCCAAGCTCTTGAACATCTCTATTACACAAAAATATAATTAAAAAGGTATAATGAATGAGATGATTCTTTCAACCAAAAAGAAAAAATGACATGATTCTGCCTATTAAGTTGATAATTTTAAATTGTTTGCTACGTAGTGAGACATCAATGTCTCTCTCTGACCAAGTCAAAAACGAATACGGTACTTCAATTCGGACCGCGTGGTGACCCAATAGTTAGAGATGAATTCTACGCATTGTATTTCACACAATATATTTATTTCTGGTGAAGTACACGATGCTGATCAAATGAGATTGAAATGCCCCTACGAGTTTTTCCGACTCTCGAAGAGTGAATTTCTGCGTCGAATGCATCAGTTGGCCTCCTTTAAAAAATAAAAAAAAATAAAAAAAAATAAAAAAACTTTAAGGAAGAAATGAAATTTACGTACATCTTTTTATATTTTGATGGTAAATTAATGATAGTGGCCAAACACAAAACCTACACATTTCTAAATTTAAATTCAACTACCTACTTAATGATTGAGTTCAACGACACGAAACCAAAACCTTTCTTTATTGTGAATGTGAGGTACCATAATTAATATTCCCATCCTTACCGTTTTTCAAAATATTTGATATTAGAGTAACAATTAATATTTTTATATTCCATGATAACTAATTTTTATACATAAATATTTTATTTGGTTAAATTTTTTGAAGAAGGAAAAAAAGTTTGTGAATATAAGAAATTAGGCAAGTTGAACTACATAAAAATTATTGTAACATTAATTATACGATACGTTCAAAATACTGGTGATTCTTGTGCATATAAACTGTAGCTATTTGTAGTCCTGGAGCCATTTTATTTTTATAATATAGATATAAAGTAAATCGACCATGCTCCCCACGCCATGCGAAAGCAATGCACAATATGAAAGACAAATGAAATGGATTGATTTCAATGTACGTGTTTTGGACAAGAACAATCCTTACTATTATTATTCCATCCTTTTTTGTTACGCAAATTGACCGACTAATCCAAGTCCTTGTTAAAAGAAACTCGCAAGTGGCGTGTGGGAAAAGTAAGCGAACAAAAGATGAGATGGAGATGCAACACACAACATGCAAGAAAGAGAGAGTAAAGAAAAGGAAGGTCCCCTTCAATAATATAGTAATAATATGGTCAAGTTTCTTGGTTATAAAATAATAAAGTGATGGGTTTTGTCTTCCATCGATCGCTTTTGAATTTTGATGTGGCCACAAACGCAATACATAAGATAATAAGGCTTTTTGCCTCAACCATCCGACCAACTAATTGTGACTTTGCCCCTCCAGATAAGATTTCCCAGCACCACTGCTTGCGTCAATGTCTTAGCTTCAATTTCTTTCTGTCCGGACTCAGTTCAGCTGGCCACGGCCAACCCTGCCGATTGATCATGTGCAATGGTTATGGGTGTAAACGTATTATTGAAAAGGTAGCACATGTTTGTTCCCCGGTTTGATTTAGAACGTAAATCTTATATTTTCGTTCAACTGATAAAAGAGCTAGACTGTTTTTGTTACACATAATGAAATTGAATCTTAAATTATTGTAATTATGATTGATTTCTCGTTATTTGCGCTGAAAAGCGCTCATTTACAAATATGAGTTTGATAGTGTGAGTTAGTACCATTCATTATACAATAAATACATATTTGTCTAAAACTTATTCGGGTCACTCTCTATTGGGGAGATGGTCAAGAAGGTGTGTAGTCACTAAACAGAGACCATTCATTGTACAATAAATACATACTTATCTAAAACTTATTCGTATGGGTCACTCTCTATTGGGGAGGTGGTCAGGAAGGTGTGTGGTCACTAAACAGAATTTAAATGGTATTATTCAGTGTCCAAAATAAAACTGCATTATTCATTGGAGCATTGCACCAACATATTAAGGCAAAAGCCTCAACCCAGATTTTATGAGGCCCAAAACACCAGATTGACCTCCGTATCACAGCCCATATTTTCTGTCATCCATGAGCCTGTACGAACAGAATTGCCATGGATCAGGCATTCTGTATTAAGATATGGGTAAGTACTGTAGAAAGTTCTCTTATGGATCTTGGTTAGGCAGCGTGCGTTCGAGTAAATTAAGGAACTGAAACACAAACAGCACTCTTGTGCCAAGTTATGTCGGATTGGATTAACTCATAAACTAAGTTGGATTGGTTTAGACTAGATTAAGTTGGACTAATTTAGTAAAGCATTTGGTGCAGTATCGGACCAAAAAACAGGATAATTAATGAACTATAATATTATATTAATTAATGCATATATAGCAATATTTTATATTATTTAATGCATATTTAATATTTATTCACCTCTTATATTCCTGAAAGACCACCTCTCGAAGTATTTTTTTTCTTTTCTTCTCCTTTTGGCTCCGCCCCATTTCTTCTTTCCTCCCTCTTTTTCTTGCAAAACGCAGGTGTAAAGCTCATCACAAATCCTTCTAAACAAGCTCATCATCTTCACCCTCTTGCTGCGGTTAAACATCTCCACCTTCCTCATCCTTTTTTTCCCAAAAAATTTCGGATCTCTCTCCTCCTTCTGATACATGCGTTGGCTTCTTCGCCTGCAAAGCTATCTCAAAATTTTCTGGCAATGGGTGGATTTTGAATTTTGGGGTTGGATTTTGTTGTTATTGTTTCACGTTATTTTTTTGAAAAAGTTTTGGTGGTTGGATTTTGAGGTTTGGGCAATGGGTGGAGCTTTGTTCCAGATACGGGCGGTGATTAAAGGGTGTTGCAGAGGAACGCTTGCAGACGACACATCCTGTAGAAGATGCAGCGGGCAAACGGAGCAAGTTTGGGGACGGGACTAGCAATCCCATACTTATTGGGGTCATCGCTAAGACGACCTAGCGAAAGACTTAGTCGGTGCGAGTCCAACTTAGTCTCATTAAAGGTAATCGTATCAAACACCGGCTAGCAGTCCAATCCAAGGAAGTTTATTGAGAGGGCAAACAAATACCCCCTTGATGTACCGAAACAAAGACATATCTGCAGATTATAATATTTTACAGTTTCCATGTTCAACTCAAAAATAGATCATTCGCTTAGTACAAAACATTGACATTTCAGTAATCAACCTAGGTTCAGTTTATGTTCAAGTAAATTCGTAAAAAGTTCATACGAAATTAATATCATTCCTATTTCAATTCACATAATTTGATAAACAAATCAACATATAATATATTTACACACTTGAACAGACGAACTAACAAACAACATCCACAATCTCTAAACAATATCAACATACACTGCTCAATATAAACACCGTTATACTTCCGATTACCCACCGGGCACGGCTAAATGGACAACACCAGACTATACAATCTGCCAAATTTTTTCAGACAACACTGCATCAAGAAAAAAATGAAAAATAAAAAACTCCCAATATATAACTCGTCTCGCTTGTTTCCCACGGTTCATCCACATGTAGGAAATACCGTTGAAACAAAGCCAGTAATTATTAATTAACTTGTTAAAAAGCTTAGGAACTTATTAATAAATCCAGCATGGTTGAATAATTATAACGAATTACTCTTTCTTTTTGTCTCCGCCGGAGTTTTCCTTCTCCATGCGTTCAAACAAGCTTCCATCGTAAACAGCTCTAACTGTATCCTTGTGCAACAAACCATTTTTGTCCTTGCAAAGCACATATAAGATCTTCCATTCTGTATAGGCAGCAAACCTGCATTTTATATATTCTCTCATTAATTTCGTTCTGTTTTCTAATTTATATTTCAGCAGGACATGAATATATATGAGAAACTTACCATCCTGCATAATCCTTGGGATCCCTATTAGCCTTTAGCATGCCCATCAGTTCATCTGACGTCAACGCATTTGGATGCGTATGGGCATGCTTCTCAAAGATTTCTTCAAATTTCGACGGAACAAACCTGAAAAATTGTCATTGGAGAAAAACAATTAAATACAAAATACTAATGAGAAGATCCATAAAGAAATCTAAGAAATGCAAAAAGATGAAGACATAATCCAAATTCCAAAAAGAACGTGATTAGAGTAGTTGATAAGTGAAGTTATTTTCATACAAAACATGTTAAAAACATTTTATTTTTAGTTTTTTTATACGTTCTTGTTTAATTTATTTTGGCAGTTAAATTTCGTTTGACTTATACAATTCGATTGCTAGAAATATAGAGAGACGTGTAACAAGCTATAAAAAATGCGTGAAAATCATCTTCCTTTTCATACACCTATGTTTATCTTTTTTTATCGATATGTATGGATAAACGAACATCAATTGACAAAAATAAGCAAAGTATGTAAAATGAGAATTTGAATGTGTGAAAATCATTTTTTTGTTTAATAAAAACTCAAACGTAGCTTTTCAAGAAGCTCAGCTCATTTTGGAGTCCAAAAGCAAGAAATTATTATCAGGCATGTTATTAGTTTAAAATGTATCTGTAAATCCCCATTCAAATCCTCATCCTCTACTTATCAATTCCAAATGTGACGACGACCAAGACCAACAGTTGGGGAGTTCATTATACAATAAGCACTTAAGCAGAATAATTTTAAAAAATTATAAATGACTGTGAAAAATGTAGAAAAATTTAGGTGTTCATGTTCTTCTAGAGAAATTATTCAGTGTGTTAGGAACCTGATACACTAAGTGATATCATACAAATGGTTGGATTCAACGCTGAGTGTACAAGACCGTATTCTCAACACACTGAAAATATTCTTCAAAAAGCTGTACCAATTAAAACTATTTTATTATACGAGATCCGACAGACTATATTATATAATAAGAAGATTATATTATACAAAATATAGATTAATTAATCAATTAATTAATAAATAATTATACCTTCCTTCAGTATCATAGACTCCTGAGTCACTGCCATGTTTGGCTTTATGGATGTTTTTAACTTCAACTGGGAAAAGCAGAGAAGGGAACTTTCCCTGCACCAAACACAGTTACAGAAGCCACGTCACTTCCTCTGGACGTAATATATAGTATACAAATTGTAATACTAGCAAATGTGTCGACATAGACAATTAGACATAATTCACTTCCCCTAATACACTTGTTCTTTGTTTGCTTGATGCGTCACAATATTCTTATAACAACGCACATTCAATCAAATATTCAATAACATAGTGTAAAATAAACATATTTTTAGAAAAGTTGCAACCTACGTTAATTTTAGAAAGTTTTAACGAAATATTCTCAGTATTGTTCATTTTTAACAAAAAACCACATTTTTTACCTTTTTCTGGTACTATTCACTACACCCTTATTTGTCATTTTTCATTAAAACTAATTTTTTAAGACTTATCATTAGGTTTTATTTTTTTATTTTTTAATTTTATGAGGACTCCAAGAAGTAATAAATTTTGTAAACGAACGAGTAAAAATAAAAGAATTCATTTTTGTTCAGATCAATTCTAACGTATAGAACCGGAGAATTAAACCTCGGAAATTGTTACAAGTATATTGCTTTAAGGGTGATGTTAGAAAAATTAAATTTAAAGAAAAATTTGTAAATTAAATAATGTGTCATCAATAAGAATGAGCACGTTTAATAATGCTTAAATCATAATCTAATTATCAACTTCTATGTCATTTAGTTTGTAAAATTTTATTAATAAATTTAGTCTCCTTAACATTATCTTATTTTAAGCAACCGAACTAACGTAACCACGTCAATAAAATTAAAACAATTCATCCCGGCTTCTCTGGTAAGGTAAACACAAAGGTGCTTTAGTGCTAGTGCTGATCAAATCAACATTTGTCACCAGCACTATAAACCCTACGAGATATTCGCCACGTTCGATTCCATCTACAAACATGTGGATGTGAGTGTTCGAGCAAAAAATAAATGATGGGAAATTTCGTAATTCTCCACGTGCTTTACTTTCTGAACGGGCACAGCTCAGAAAACAAATATTCTGATCTGGGAACGATATTTTAATCTATGCCGCCGGCAACTTAGTCTAATGCTTTGTAGTTATAACTTTTTTCTTATTAAAAATTTTGTTACGGAGAGTGAATCGAACCTAGAACTTCGGATGCATAGGCGAATGATAACCGTGGCGAGCTGAGTGAGAGAGAGAGAGAGAGAGAGAGAGAGAGAGAGAGACCTGGCGAGTCTTTCGACTGAGGGCCGCGTTGATGAGAAAGGCACTGACTGTGGACAACATGATGCCACACCCGATCGCACGAAAACCTGTTGATATAACACACACACGCGCGCGCGCGATCACTTGTTTAATTACAAAGAGATTATGAATAGTAATGATCATGTATACAGGTTTTAAAGAAGAAAAGAAAAAAATAATTAATAAAAACCTTGAAAAGTTTCCCAAGGATAAACAATGCCATCGTGATTCCTGTCAAAGAAGGCTACATGTCTCTGCAGTACGTCCTCTTTGTTGGGTACGAATTTCCCACCATTATTATCTAGATGCATCAGCAATTTGAGTACAAACACATCACGAGGTTTATGCCAATTAATTAACATATAATTAAATTTACAACATGTATAAACCCTTTGTTTAACTCTAAGCGAAACGGCCGGAAAGTTCAAGAAAACCTAGAGAGAGAGAGACTGCATACCTTGTTGCTTACAGTTTTCTGACAGAGAAGAGGAACCCATATTTTTCAGAAGGATTGAAACTCGAGAGGGGAGAGAAGAAGGTAAATTTGATCAAATGCAATGGCGGTGAAGGAAAATTAAGAAAGAAACCGATCAATAAATCCAACCTTGTACCGAGCGGAGCAACTTTAGAGAGTTCTTTTTTTTATTTTTTCTCTTTCCTGAAACGTTCGATTCACAACCACGCAAACTCTTTATTTATATAACGGCCTAAAAGCGAACGTAAATAATTTAAATTTAAGTTTCTGGAATGGCATGGTGATAGATATTACTGTATAATTATTGAAATTTATTGTGTTGTGAAAGCTTAGCGCTGTGAATAACGTCCCAAATGGCACGCGTCCCCGCACTGGCCCTCCCACGTTGACCATAATTTCCCACAATATTATCGTTTTCCTTATTTTTATTTCTTTATTCGAATATTTATTTATTATTATTGTAATAGCACATACAACATAGACATAATCAACAACCTTTTTGGAGCGGTTATTGTGGATTGTTGTTAGAGAGTTGAAATCCTCTCCGAATGTTTTTGCTCGGAGTACAAAGATTATGAGATTTAGATCAAGTCATTTTAAACAATGCGATTGAATTAGCGTATTTTATTAGTTCACCTTACCTGAAATAAAAGAAAGAATTTAGATGTATTTGTCTTCCTTTTCAACGGTCCGAATCTTCTAATCTTTAAACTTCGAATACAGAAATTCGTTACATACCACATCAGCTTTTACATTTGCTTTTGGTTTACAGGAACAGATTACAGATTAGCTGTTACTTCACTTCCCAATAGTTTCTCAGCTCTCTTCAAGTGTGAACGCTCTTCCCATGTTATCCACGCACACATCACCTTTCACGGCGTTTTTGTTTGTTCTGGGACCTCTTTCCTCCCCTGCTCTTTCAGAAATCAGAAGCTTTCCCTCCCACCGAGTTCAAAACCACAAATGTCCAAGCGAACGCAGCTTCTTCGCCATCTGCATCAATATTACCTAATGTATTGTTTTTTACTAGTGTTGTCTTTTGCTAAGTTAAAAAAGTACTTTTTTTTCTTCTAGCAAACGGTAAGGTATACACTATTTATTTAAACTATATTCAAATTTAGGCGCAGTACAATGTTAATTCGATTAAATCCATATCACAACCTTGAGAAATGAAAGATAATTTTCATCTCTAAGTTTTATTCATACGTAGCTCGCTTGTTTTTGGATGTAAAACAGTGTCAAACTAAAATACCCAACAAGTATTATCTCTCCCTGAAACGAAGGTGATCCAGCCGCCCCTTCTAGTACGGCTACCTTATCATAACTTCTATCCGGTCACCAGCCCTACCTTGTTATAATCTCTTAGCTGTTTTTTTTATCGACCACACCTCTCAGTCTTATCTCTTTAGGTGATACGGCGATGCGGCATTCTACCCTCTTTTAAGTCTTTTCCCTCCACAAATTTCTTTTATAAATAAATGGAGGAGTTGGTGATTCTCCTTTTTCGTTGCTTGTCGCTTAACACTTAACAGCTACGAAATCCTGTTTTGGGAAATGATACTTACTTAATCCGTTTTCATGGTAGAGTAAAAGCAAATATTGACTTACTCTACCATGATCAACAACTGTTCATGCAGTCAAATGACGTTTTTTGCAGTGACGAAAAACAATCATATCTATGCACTCTGAATAATATGTATTTTAACATCACAGTGTATAATTGGTTTCACATATATAGCCCCTTTGGCTCTGGAGTTGAACATGAGTTGTTCTAATATTTGGTTGTACCAAATATTAATCATCATTCATAACAAACATCATTGTCTTGATTAGAATTTGATATCAAACTATACCGCTTCAGTCATGAAAGGAAAACAAAAGGTATTGAAGAATCGATATTTCATAGTCCATTGGTTCACATAATTACATCTCATATACCCGCATAACCCACTCAGTATTTGGAGCGGTTTCAAACATTTTCACGATACAAAATCTAAGAAGCAGCCAGTCAAATATAACATCCTCATAAACCTACGGACCCATTCATCCAATTCTGCAAATACAACAACGACAAAACACAATGCTGTCACATTCTAAAAACACAAGTAAACATTCAAGAATGCAGTGGACGTATGTACAAGTCCTCGTGACACGGTGATATCTCTCCTTATCAAGGACCTGTACTCAGCTTCTACAAAATAAGGCGGTTCATGCCCAAAGTATAAACAACGTGTGTGTAAATAACTGTAGGAAAACATCACATACACAAGACTGTCCGCCAAAACCATAAGTGATAGTAGAACACACATTACAGCTCATCGTTCCAGATGGAGTGATCCTTACTACATTAGGCAGGATTAGCACATAGATGCTCCTTAACAGGTATCATTCTACGTGTATACTACATTAAGTATCGTGTATTCGTTCAAGTCTGACCTTAGACTGATGCAACATTTCACCACAAGCCCTTTTTGATCGGCCCTTCCCTCTTCACTGCCTGAAAATACATATTCAAATATTGACTCTCCATTTCAACATGATACGAACAGAAGGAAAATAGAAGCAACTATATTCGATAAAGTAACAGTGTAGTTCTGCTAATAAAACTTAAAATACATAAAAAGGTAAAGCATGTTCAGCAGGAAACAGCAGAAATTAACAAACCTTCAGGTGGCTGAGCTAGCTTTCGGTTTTGTGGTGACATCATCTCCTTCTTCAATTGTGTCAATATGTCCTCCATCGTATATTCCCTTTGCCAATTGGCAAGCATGGGGAAAAGACTGGGTTCAACCTGGTAATTTGTCCACCCATCAGCTTGTTTCAACTATAACAAAGGAAAATATTTGTGGGTAAGAATCCCCTACCACTCCAGTATCACGATTGACACAGGTCACGTTTATTCGTGTTTGGAACCTAACAGTTGGTGGATTATCTGGATAGTCCTTTCCACAGAACAGTTTCAACTGGTAAATGCGCCCTTCGTGCACAGTCTAGCAAGAAGCAAGATCAGCAAGACATTAAATTCAAAGAATGATGTTATTTCAAGGCAGCATTCCATGATATTTATTTTTATTTTTTATTTTTTTTTAACTTACAAGCGCATTTGTGGGCAGCAATTTACCCAAAAAAGGAAAATTAAAAAGAATAAGGAACCTACATTAGGAGGTCCAATAATTGTCCCTGTCCATGACTGCATATAAATATCATCAGCATCATCCATACCATAGCTAACAGTGCCATCCCCAATTCCCTTTTCACCCCTCTCAAGCTCTTCCAGTAATCTGAAATTCCTGGGAACTACACACAAAAAAGAGTCAAGACACGTAACTACAACTCTTGCATGATTTGATAATAATGAATGCCATACTGTAACAAATAATCACGAACAACAGGAATAAGACAATTGTCTAACAAAAAGGATTAACATATCTACTTAGTGTAACAAAGAAAACCAAAGGCAGCTTCAGTCACAAATCACATCAAATTCATCACAAAATTAGAAGCTAGTTCAACAAATACAAAAAGGGGAATACCCCAGGCTTTCTCCGTTTTTTAGTCTTATATATTTTACCAATGAAACTCCTGGCAGAAATACTTTCACTGGCTTTCACTTCCTTAATAACAGCAGAGGTTCTATAAATTCATTTCAGAAGGAAATAGAACATTAGCTAAAGGTAGGTGTTATAATTTCCAAGTTGAGAGAAATGAGAAGTGTTTACAATAGTATGCCAAAACACTACAATCTTGTACTCTCTATGGAGAAACCGTCTGAGAAATGGTTATAGAAAAGTGGAACGACCCTTGTGTTAGCAGACCATGGACACTTTCTCTAGACGATAAGTAATGGTCTTTTAAAATGATCTTGGTCCTCAGAGTGCTCCTTTCCACCTCCAGAAGAGATGTAAAAACTCATACTAGCTTGAAAAGTTTGAGAAGTAAATTGTAATATATGGATACCCAATCAGATACCATTTTTAGAGTGCTTTACATAATGTTAACACAAAAGACGAATAATCATGTCTCATATTAGAAATTACATTGCCTCCCGTGTAAGAGAAGGATCATGTCTCATATTAGAAATTACATTGCCTCCCGTGTAAGAGAAGGATGCTAAAAATTTATGAGGCATTTGTTTTGGCACTGGTGAATCTAATCTCAATCAACTATGGAGTTATGTTCAGCAAGAGGATTGTGGAGGAACTGACACATTAAGAAGGCAGAATAATGGGCAACCGTGTTTATAGGAGAGAACGGAGGTTTCTTTAATTTTCTTTGCAAGGAAGTGCATAACAATTTAGGCAACCATTCACAGAGGAAAATGCTTCAAAGAAACAGAAATACAGGGAAAAAAAGAAGAAGGAAGGGGTGACTAAGGCACAACATGACTTCTGAATCTATATCTTGTCACACTACTATTCGCCTCAAGAATAGTTGGGTTCTGTTAATCCATATCTTATTTCTTATAACAATTTGGAAACTTTTTAAGAACTTTTTGTGACATCAAGGGTCAAAGTTTCCAAATCAAAATTTTCGGCCAAGAGGAAAGATAATCCAAAATCATTGCCATTCACATAACATCACATTAGCCAGCCCCAAAAAACTTGCACTAGCTTCACTGATAAAATAGCATGGGTACCGTAGTAATTAGTGAGGGGTTAAAGATGAACCTCAAAGGCTCAACTGTACACGTTAACGTTAAATTTCCACCGTCGATGCAAACTTCATCATTCCTTGTCAAATTAGATTGGAATGATTCGATCCTTGATGGACACTTTAGGCATCCCAACATTGATTTCATAAAAACATCAATTCGCACAAGTTCATAACCCAAAAAAACCAATCAAGCTCACAACACACCCTATCATTCAGGACAAAGCAGCCAAATTTGTAAGCAAACATAATCAAATTAATCCACTTCACTAGGTTAACAAAACAAACAAGAAAATGCAATTTAGCTCAAACAATTAGATCATTCAGGAACAAAATCAACATATAAAAATTAATCTGCGACAAACTTCGACGAATGCAAAATTAACTAAAAAGGTGAAAAATCTAGGGTTTTGCGAGGCTCACCGACGACGCTTGATCCTTCGGAGCACATTTTTTGGACGTTGAATTTGCAGAGTCCGGATTACGGTGAGATGAGGAGAGAGAGTAGCAGAGAGGTTACGATAATGGATTGAAGACTGTAGGAAGTCCAATACGGTTCGCCGAGGGCAAAGTCACGCATGGAGAGAAAGGATAAAAAACAGGAAGAAGCAGAAGAGAGGAGGAGGAGGAGGATCCGAGTCGAGTATTCCTTGAGCTGAGGGTCTACCGTTATTTTTCTGCACCTGCGCATCTCAGACGTTCATCAGTCACTACAATAGAATTTTCCATTATTCCGTACATTTTGGACGAGTCGGTTGAAGTAAGGCCGTAGATCTGTGGCATTTGAAAAGATGGGTCCCCCAAAAAATGGAGGAGAACCGTTCTAAATGTTTTTTTTTTTTTTTTTCACTAGCATTCTTACATAAATGTACACACATTTTTTTCTTGTTTTTCACACTGAACATTTCGCTACCGACACTAAAATTATTCTCTCGTAGCTTTAGTGAATCACTTGATTGCTAATACATTTTCGGTGTCATGGAGCTAAACTAGTGAACTATTATGTTTTATTCTGTCTTTTGTTTCATTTGATCAAATTCAATCTAACGATAAAAAATATATAAGAGTGTGTGAGAAACGAGAATAAATGTGTACAAATTGTAATTTTAGGTGGTAGGATAATGCATGTGACACATTCCGACCTAGATTGATGCATGCTGGCCGTCACGCCCGGACCGGGATGCGACAGCATGCATATCAAATTGTATTTTTTAATTTTTATTATGGTTGGATAGTCTTAGTGAAACTACCGGACGACAGCCAGGGACAACGAAATCAAGCCCAAAGGACCAATGCCAGCAAGGCAACGTGTAAGCAGTGAACAAAGTAGGAGGCCCACGCAAAGAAAAGTGAGGTGGAATACAAAGGAAAATGATTTCCTCAAGCCTATTTTTCATATCAAGGCCACGAAACGAAAAAAAAAAAGGTCGAATTAAAAGGAAAATTATTTTCCCACGCCTATTTTTGGTATTGATACCATGCAAAGAAAAGGAACGTCAAGTTGAAAATTATTTTCGGACACCCATTTTTATATCGACATTTTTCACTTTCATAAGGTTGACATTTTCTTTTGTTCAATGGACGTTAACATTTTTATTAAAATTTAGAATGCTTCAGGTGTACAGAGGTACTTCTATTTTATTTTTTTTCCGTATATTTTTATTGGTTATTTCAAAACTACTCACACTAGATACAAATTTGTGTGATATTATTGTGTTAGCACTCAAAATCGGGAGGTTAATCAAGACCAGGATGTTAACAAAGATCAGTACGGTCAACTCTTGATGAGCTCGAGATAAAGATTTAAGTAACTGATAACAAGGTTTAAGTAGTTCACTCTCAAAACTGGACTACATCCATTACAGTGCTCTGTAAATATTTGATGTGAATTACAATAAGTGCTCAATAATAATGTGATGTTTCTTTTCTCTTGCGAGTCAAACTGCTTATAAATTGTATTCTTCCCTCTTATATAGCCCTTAACGAGCCCCAAAAGTCTTGTGCTCTTAAGTGCTTCACAGTTATAGCATTAAATGAACTAAACGCGTAGATGGCTACTCCTTCATCGTTCAATCCACACATGGAGATGAAGTGACATTTGAATTTGAATTGTGAAATATATATTATTTTAAGGATTTAAAAGGTCCTGCATTCACATACTGAATTGTGAACACACATGAAAACGATATGATTGTACAACACATCAGTTCTACAATATTTTCATACAAAAACCAGCCAATGACAATTATATATATTTGTGTGTGTATATTAAAACCAGTTTACATACAATAAGATACAATTATTGTAATTACAAATGATAAACATAATAAACATAATAGAGGAACTCCCTTTCTCTTTAATTTTCTCCTCTTGGTAAATGGTACTATTGCTTCTTCTTTTTTAAAAAAAATTGGACAATTGATGGCAAGCCACGGTTATCCACCATTTTTTAGGGCCGAAAAAACTCACATAAGCATTTTAGCCTCTCTTAACGTAAATAGTACTGTTGCTAGGTATCCTTGTTTTTCACTCTTTCGGTCCCGTATCTTCCCCGTTATTGTATTCACAATTATGTTCACAATGCAGTTATTTTTCAGGCATTCATTTCCATGTAAAAAAAAAAATCAATTAAAACCTGTCAACCAATTAAAATCAAATAAAATATATAATATGCTTATATTATAACTTGATTTGGTTCACATCTTGAAATTTTATGATCTAATATTTTTTATACGCTCCAAGAGGAATGCCAGTAAAAAAAAATATCAGTGAAAGAATCTCAAATATAAACTTAAGACCTCTCAATTTAACATAGTGAATTGTCCTGCTAGCTCCTGTGGTAAATGATACACCTATAATCTGTTGAATTGCAACTATTTTGTTGTTGTTGATGCTTCTAGTGAATTAAACATTTACAAAAATTGATCATCAGTATTTAATTTTAAACCTTTAATCAGATATGTATAGTGTACATCGTTACAATAAAAAAATTCTTAAATTGGGAGGCAATAATACTGTTAATGCTTAAAACTAATGAGGTTAACAAAGTCGAGAATGGTCGTGAGTCGACCCTTGGTGACCTCGGAATATATTTTATATCTCAATTTGTCTAAACCCTCTTAAGGAGTACTTGTCCTCATTATACAGGTCATCTATGAGCCCTCAACTCCTTGGGCTCGAGTCTATCACTTCCTCTGAGTCCTCTTAAGGAGTACTTGTCTGACCCCACTTTACTTGTCCCTCCACTTTTTATTCCACATGTGGCAATGAGGTGGCATTTGTGCAAGTACACTAGCACGCCTTCTTGGGACAACGTAGTCGAGTGCCTTGCTAAACTTTGGGGTTGGTGGATATTCGTATCAAGCGCCCTAACTATCAGCTTTTATTTTCCTTCCATATCCCTTTGTTCCCTTGGCTGGCCGCCAGTGGCCTGGACTTGATGTCTAGGTAGGCTTGTTCCATTGTTCCTGGGATCTTGTGTCATAAAGCTGTTAGTTCACCAACTTGCCCTTCAACGGTCGGAAAGTATTTTACGGGGAAATTCTTGGCCTAGTTGCTAACAGGACATGGGGAGGTTACGTGCTCTTGAAATGCTCAAGATCATTCTTCCAAATTCATCAGGCCTCTACAAATATTGGAATGACAGGTGCCATGCAATATATACCATTAAGCCCTAATTATCCAAATCTACACATTCAAACCCAATTCTGGTACTGTTGATCCTAGCTTTGGCTGGGATCAGTGGGTTTTCTTTTGTTTCTTTGTTTCTCTCTTTCTCTTCTCCCATCAACTGTTTTTTCCCTGGTTTTCTTGGCTGATTTGCCTTCTTCTCTCCCCTTTGATTTGTCTCGTCCATATTCCTCAAATTTTCGAGCTTCAATCATACTTTGCTATGATTTGTTGTAGTGTTTCGAGTTGGTGAGTATAGATCGAGTGCTTCCACTGGGTTAGGTGTTCCTCGCACCACCACCTTCTCTTTGTTGTCTGCCTTTGTTGGTTGTGTTGCTCGTGGATTCTCACGAGCTTCTTTCAATTGGCTGTAGGTTTTTTGTTGTATGTAGCTGTGCTAGGAGTGAAGTTTGGGAGTGGATGCTGGTATCGATGAGGCGAAGCTTAATTAGGGGCAAGAATTTGTGTGGATTAACATGCACGCCTGCTGTTTTGGTGGTTTCATCGGTGGTTATGGTGGAGGATGCAACAGAACTGGTTGTTTTCAAGTTTCTTTTGTTTCGGTCTCAACTTCTGGTTGGGGCATTGTTGTTTGTTTGTTTGTTTGTTTTTTGAGTCTTTTTGTTGTAAAATTTAGTCATTTGTATTGTAAAGTTTGTTGTTACTGGTAATGGATGTTACCTTTGATCAATATAAAAAAAAAAACCAACCCAATTAATAAATAAGCAATTATGGGACTGGGAGTCTGCGAGGGAGGCAGATTTTCTGCCCTCTCACTTCTCGTACCCTTCTGTTTGTGTGGTCACGGTTAAACCACGTAAACATTTTATATTACTATTCATTTTTATCTTATTATCTCTAAAAAATAATGTAAAATATTGACGTAACTTAACCGTGATCACACAAAACATGATTGCCTCTATGTGCGACTACGTGTTTGGTCAACTGTACTGTACTTGCCATCTAACAATTCAATTCATATTATTAATTTGCTCACGCCGGCTGTATCTACTCTGCTAATTAAATGCTAACCCACAGTTTTTATATCAAATCAAGAAAGAGACACCAGAGCTGAACTCTACAGAGCAGGCATGGCGGCGACCACCGTGATTGGCGAACATGACTACGACAGAGCTCAAGAAATCAAGGATTTCGACGACACAAAACTCGGAGTCAAAGGCCTCGTTGACTCTGGTCTCACCTCCATCCCCCGCTTCTTCATCCACCCACCCGAAACTCTACCCGACGTTCGATCCGATACAAAACCCGATTCCCAACAAACACCGATCCCCACCATCGACCTCGCCGGCCTGCACACCCATCACCGTTCATCCATCGTTGACCAAATCAACCACGCGTGTCGAAAGTTCGGTTTCTTCCAGGTCATAAACCACGGAATCCCGTCGGCAGCTCTGGACCGTACGATCTCAGCCATCAAGGCCTTTCACGAGCAGCCGGCGGAGGACAAAACACGGGTCTACAGTAGGGATATGGTCACGGGCGTACGGTATATCTCCAACTTCGACCTCTACAGCTCAAAAGCCGCCAGCTGGAGGGACACGCTAACAATTAGGTTGGGCCCCACGCCGGCGAATCATCTAGAGGTGCCTGAGATCTGTCGGGATGCGGTTGCTGAGTGGGATCAGGAGATCCAACGGCTGGGAGGTGTGCTAATGGAGCTTGTGAGCGAAGGGCTGGGATTGAATGCGTGGAGATTGAGGAAGATGACGTGTCTGGAAGCGAGGGTGATGGTGGGCAATTACTACCCCTACTGCCCGCAGCCTGATCTGACGGTGGGGATTGCTTCTCACTCTGACCCGGGAGTTTTGACCGTGCTGCTTCAGGACCAAACGGGTGGATTGCAGGTTAAATATGGTGAGGGTTGGCTGGATGTGAAGCCGGTCCCCGGTGCTCTTGTTATCAACGTCGGGGATTTGCTTCAGGTAAATGTAGTTCAACTACAAAACTGATCTCACTGCCGATGTTCTCTAATAAAGATAAATTCAGTGTTGAAAATATTAGTAACGGAGGAAATATCAATGAATACATCGTATTAATTTCGATATTGATTGCTTTTAATAAAAATGATGAAAATTTAAAATGAAATTTAGAGAATTTCATATACTGATTTAGACGAAATATAAGAATTTTTTCGATATTTAACCGAAATAAGTATTTTCATACTTTCTCGTTTTACTTTCTTTTGTTGTTACGATTCTACGGGAATATATAAACTTTCGTATTTCAATTTTCCAGAATTATATGCAAGGTGGTTGTTCGTGATTTCTTAACCTAGAATTTTCGATGTGTCACAACAACGAATACTTTGGTTGACTTTCAGATTATGTCCAACGGAGAATACAAGAGCGTAGATCATCGGGTGTTCGCTAACCCAAAACGCGAAGCACGCGTGGCAATTGCAGTGTTCTTCAACCCAAGTAATACAGAGGATACGTATGGTCCACTATCGGAGATGGTCTCGCCGGAGAAACCGGCACTTTACCAGCAATTTACGTTGTCAGAATTGATGCAAAGGTTCTTCAATAAAGGATTGGATGGCAAAGCTTTGGTAAATCACTTTAGGCTGTAAAACGACGTAACCAAACGGTATGAACCATTTCCGCCGCGAATCATGTTATAGTTAGCCTTATTTCTTGATAATGCTGATCGTGGATTTGGTTTTGGCAATTATTAAATTACATTAGTGTTTTTTTTATTAATTTATTAATGTTTGATAGTTCTTAGCTTCCAACTCTAATTAGGGGTGGGCACTTGAAATAGAAAACCGAAAATATAACATGGACTGAGCCGTACTGCACCGAACTATTTGATTTTTGCGGTTTTGAAATGGTTTCAGTTTGAAACTGAACCACAAGCTTAAAAACAGTTTGGTATTGGTTCTTAATATCTAAAATCGAACTGCATAGTATAAAAAAATATTTGTGGGCTTCTAAAAGTTTCTAACAACTAATGTGATTTATGTTGTTTATGTTTTTGTGTTGTGTAAAGTTGGCCAAGTTCAATTCAAGCATCGCCTCTCTTACTTTTAATCCAACCACAATAACAAGCTTCAGAAGATCTCAAGCTTTTAGTTTACAAGGTTGAGTGGCTACTCATCTACTTGGTTCACCTTCATAACGTCTAAGGTCTTCCCAAGTATCGCTTGATAAGCCCCTTCACAAGCTTAAAGGCCTCATAAGCTTTAGAAGAGTAAGTGTCGAAAGGAAGCGAAAGGGTTGGACAATGCACAGTAGGGACTTGAAAGTTGAAACACCAAAACTTTTTTGTTGAATTACATGAACAATTTATTTTTTGTGGTTATATTACTAATGCCATAACTCAATTATGTTGTATTAATGACATAAAACATTTAGTTTGCAAATGATTTGAAACTGAAATCAAAACCGTTTGAAACCAAATCAAATCGCAAACAAAGGATTTGGTTCTATTTTGGTTCAAGTCTTAAAACCGCACATAACTGAACATCATTGATGGTTTAGTCAGAATATCTCTCTTCCAAACCGAACCAAACCGCAACCAGATGGATTGGTTATATTTCTGATTCCACTTATTTATGTCAAATTGACATTTTGAGAATCTGAGATGGCTGAGAATTTTCGTGTTTCTACAAACCTTTCAAAGTTTTCTGAAATTACATGCTACTCCATAGGGGTGTAAGTAAAATAGATTTAAACCTCAAGGGTTTTATTGTAATGTTCATAATTTATGGACTTCTATGAAAAAAGAACAAAACACTAGGGAGCGAGAGTGTAATGAAGATGGAGTTCTGGGGCAACACGTCTTATCCGAATTCTCTCTCACCAAAACCATTATTTATTCATGCACAGTGCCTGCTGCCTAAATCCAGGGCCTCTGTATCATCCTTTCGGACTTTGTGGAAAGCAATTTTCTCTGACCGGAAAAAGAGAAACCATGGCGGCGAACACTACGATCGGCGGTGAACGGGATTACGATAGAGCTGAAGAAGTCAAGAAATTCGACCAATCCAAGTTCGGAGTTAAGGGCCTCGTTGACTCAGGCCTCACCTCCATCCCCCGCTTCTTCATCCACCCACCCGAATCTCTACCCGACCCCCGACACCGTACCAAACCCGATACCCCAATCCCCACCATCGACCTGGCGGATCTTCACACCGATCGCCGCTCCTCCGTCGTCGACCAAATCAGCCGCGCCTGCCGGACATTCGGGTTCTTCCAGATCACTAATCACGGCATCCCATCGGTAACTCTTGACCGCACGATTGCAGCCGTCAGGGCCTTCCACGAGCAGCCGACGGAGGTGAAAGCGCGGTTCTACCGCAGAGAGATGGGCACGGGCGTATCGTATATCTCCAACGTGGACCTCTACAGCTCAAAAGCCGCCAGCTGGAGGGACACGCTTCAAGTGAGGTTGGGCCCGATTCCCGCTGTTCCTGAAGAAGTACCGGAGATTTGCCGGGAGGATGTTGTTGAGTGGGACCGCGAGATCAAACGGCTGGGGGAGGTGCTGATGGAGCTGGCGAGCGAAGGCCTGGGATTGAACGCGAAGAGGTTGCAGGAGATGACGTGTCTGGAAGGGAGGGTGATGGCGGGCCATTACTACCCGTACTGCCCGCAACCTGATCTAACGGTTGGGCTAACATCTCATTCTGACCCGGGGGTGCTGGCCGTGGTGCTTCAGGACCGGATGGGTGGGCTGCAGGTTAAGTACGGTGAGGGTTGGGTGGATGTGAAACCTGTCCCCGGTGCCCTCGTCATCAACGTTGGGGATTTTCTTCAGGTAAATTCTATTTTTACCTCTAACTGCGTGTGAAAATAAATTGCATCCATTCCGCCCAATGCCATCTATAATTCAACGCCTTGGTTTTCGGTTGTGAAAGTGACTAGGAAAATGAGTATTTTACAAATCTACAAATTATCAAAACGACAACATATCAATACAACAACAATTAAGTCGTATTTCATTAAGACCAACTCCAACTGTGGACTAAAAGTCAAATTACTTCTCAAAATTTTCTCTCAAATTCAGTCCAACCTAAGGGGAAATTTTGGGCTAAATACTAAATGCTAAACCAATGCCAAATTCCTCCTAAAATTTAGTCCAGAAATCGAAGTGGACTCTACCTAATATTTATCGAAATTTAAATTTTTTTGGATTAAAATGTTCATAAAATTAATTTACGATAGCCTACATATTTATTTTTTTTAAAATTTAATTTAACAAAAAAATAGCCTAAGTTCATTTTTTAATAATTTCGGGCTAAAATTTTAAGTTAGAACGGTTGGAGCAGAAAAGCTATTTCTAGGCTAAAAGTTAAATTTTCCAGGCTAAAAAATTTAGTTTTTAGTTTAACCATTGAAGATGATCCAAGGGTCACATTGCGATTATTGTGTTTTTTTTTTTTTTTTTAATAAATTGCTTGTTCTCCGTACTTTAAGGACAACTAATTGCAAAATAAGGTAATTGATCGGTTGATCAATTGTATTTTTAAAAGTGTTATGGGTAAGAAAAATAATGTAAAAGCACCGTCCAAAAGAATAAATAATGTAAAAGCACTGTCCAGAATAATAAATAATGTTATTGTTTAAAATTAATGAACTTATCACATGAATTAAAAGTAAGGAAAACTAATGAAAATGACTTGAAAACTTTGAGTTTTGACAATAAGGATAAAATAAAAGGTAAAGTGAATAGTATCATGATTGTTTTTAGTGTAACAATGTGATTTTTCTTTAAGGTGAACAGTATCGCCGATTTTTCGTTAAAACTTTCTTAAAAGTATTCTAATGGCTCAACTTTGATTTGTATTAAATTAGATTTTAAGAGAAACCTGCATGCTCTTTTTAAAAACTGTTATTTGGAGGCTATTACTTTTAAAATAAGTAGTATATTTTATTTTTACCACATACTTTTTTACTACTTAACTTTAAAGTTAAACAATTTTTGGTGGAAAAAGCAATATTAAACTAGGCCTAAGAGGGGTGAGATGTATGAGTTTTAAAACGTTATCGTGCTCGATTTTGTACCAAGTGTTCCGTTTGCCCCAGGTACTTGATATTTTATTCTTATGTCTCTTTCTAAGTCTTTCTAGGTCTTCTTCTTTTTCTGCTTCCATTTAATAGTCGATTTAGCTAGAGCATCTCTATCACGTGTTGAAACTACCTTAACCGATTTTCTCTTTAGCAATCACACTTTGCATCTGCATTCAGTAAATTTCCCTGCTAGTTTATTTGTTATTAGGCTTAATTGTAGAAATGTTAAATTGCAGTTTGTTCTTGGAGTTAACGTAAACCCTACCTTGCCCCTTGGGTAATGCTTTGTGTTACGATTTGCTCCAAGCACTCAACTCCATCTTAAATTTCTTTAAATTTGATGAGGTGGTAGTGGTACTATTTCAACGGAATTTTAGATGAAATTATACATGAAATGCCATCAATTTTAACCAAATTTCGGACGGAGATGACGACAAGGAGTAAACTTGATCACAAAACATAAGTAAAGGGGGATAAAGTGAGAATTATCCTTACTTTTGGCGGGCAGTAGAACTATTTCGCCTTTATTTTGTTGATTGTTTAACCGAAACTCAATGTAATGGTTTGGTTCGTTTTCAGATTGTGTCCAATGGTGAATACCGAAGTGTAGATCATCGTGTGTTGGCAAACTCATCCCGTGAACCCCGTGTGTCAATCGCTGTGTTTTTCAATGTGAGTAGAAGGGATGACTCATATGGGCCATTGCCGGAGCTGATCTCCCCGGAGAAACCAGCGCTTTACCGGCAGTTTACGCTTTCAGAGTTCATGCAAAGGTTCTTCAATAAGGGTTGGATGGCAAAGCATTGGTAAATCACTTTGAGCTGTAAAATACTACTATTTGACCAGAACTCTATGAAGTATGAACCATTGTATTTGAGAGGTGTGTCCTCATCTTTATTGTAATAAAAATACGAATTGGATTATCAAATGTGGAGTCTGCTTCGACAATTGAGAGCATTCGTTGACATACTCTTTAAGTTCGTCGTTCTACACGTAGAAATAATGGGTAGCGCTTTCTGGCGCAGGCATTACTGGACCCGGTTGGTTGCAGGACCACTCGAAAGTTCGGATAAATGACTTTGAGAACTACTAAGCCTACGTGGTGCGCAAGTCGAGTAACTAATAAACTAACTACGTCATTCGGTTGTGTGCGGGGTGTGCCAACTTGTCGACCGAGCTTGGTTGGGGAGTAAAATGTGTTTTGTCGTTTTGGGTGCGCTGCTGACTTTTCAATCTTACGACTATGGCCAAGGAAGGAACACGTCTCAACTTTCGAGTTCTAGAGCTTGAAGACAAGGCTACTAGTTATGCGAAGATCACAAATCGTCGGCACCGGATTTGGTCTCAGTAATTGTATTCGTGAGAGTATAGGCATGGGCGGATCCATATAGGGACCCGGGAGGTCCCGGGACCCTCCGGAAGCCCGAAGAAACACTTGTGATCGACCTTCAGGACCCTCCAACAATTTGGGCAGGTGCAGCGGAGAGGCTTGTTGCCTCCATGGATGTGCATGCAGCAGTGCTTATAACGAAGAAGAAGAGGTTTCTAATTTTTGTTTTAATCCTCCAAATCGTTGCAACCTTCCAACTTTAAACTCAAGTTACCCCATCCCCTAACACCACTTGTCGTTCCACCACCTCTAGTTGCCTAAATTTATTTCTTCCAAATTCATTTAAGTTTTTTAATCCTAGACTCTAGTCTCAACTCCCAATTGTAATATGTATGTTACATTAATAAATTTCATCTTTATAGATTCATTAATTGATGCGTTATGTTGCTGAGGACAATTTGTTGGTTTTATTACCTTTGAGATGAATCTTGATTATTATTATTTTTTTTTTTTAAACCGGACAACTACTGGCAAGCCACGGTTATCTATCCCTTTTAGGAGCCTAGAAGACTTACAGAGGCATTTCAGCTTTCTCCTGGCTACAATCAAGCAGACTCACCAGCTTGGAGCCTCGAACCCGGGACCTCCGTGTTTTTTGTATTTTGAGAGCCGAAATCTGCGCCCTTACCACTGGGCCACTTGATTGGTTGATTAATTTTGATTATTTAATGAACCAAATTCAATAAAAAATAGTGCTATGGAACCAAACTAGTCTAATATATATTTTTTTGAATTTTTATCTTAGGACCCCCCGATCTTGAAATCCTGGATCCGCCACTGAGTATAGGTACGCTGAACTAGTATCAAAATATACAGACACAAATACTCGAAAGTAATAAATGTCTTGATGGTAAATGTAGTTTGGTTGTCGGAACGCTGAACTCTAAAAGATACTTGTG